ATAACACTTACCACAACAAACACTTGGAATTCTCTTGTGTAACTGAATCCTGAGAAACATGGTGTTAAAAAAAGACTTTAAAAACACTACAGCACATGGGAAAAGTTCACAGTAGAAATACAGAAGCTTAATAATGGTTCAACTGGGCCTTTCTGAAAATTGATGCTGGTTAAACCGTGGAATATTTACAAGAGCGTTTTAGTTGTGCTGAATGTGAGCCAACGCGCCTGAATGTATTATGTCAAACCATGAGGATTTCAAAATCTTGCCACTTGAGATTTTACAAGCTTAGCAGTAGATGTCTTGGCAACACTTCAAAAGTCCCTGCACACATCTGTGACCAAACCACAGCCGCTGAAGAGGAAATACTCGTGATTGAATTACCGTGGGGCTGTTTGTTTCACAATCTGCTCACGGTAGCCCCAGACCTTCCTGGCCTCCTGACTCCCACACTACTACATCAGCTCCTAAGATCACCATGTCACACTACACCATTACAATCATGCCATCTGATGTTTTTTCATAGCATTTTTAATAACCTTATTAAGTCATTCATAATTATTGACAGGAATGTAAAACGATTGTTTACATGCCATTTTGGATTTCTATATAAGCTTGTTTCTGCAATCAAGAAATAATAAAAGGTAATTCTGACTTTATGTCTTACTATTGCAGTTTTATTTCTCACAAATGCTACTTTCTTTCTCAAAAGTGTAACCTTAAGGGGGTGGTTCATTTGTCATTTTACAAAGTGCACATTTTAAAAGTATACTTAAGAACGTAAAAAAAGTAATTAAAGTGCTTAACTATTCGGTAATATTATATTATCTGCAATAATTACACTACAAGTGCACATTCAATACAATTAAGCTCCATTCTTTTTCACAATGATATCCCTTTAAATCTCTAAAATTTTATCTTGATTTCTTATTTAACTTTCTCTCACAATTACCTTTTTTATTCTTTACTCTGAGGCAGAAATGGGCTTCTATAAATAGCCTTATCATGTGATTGAAATGCTTTCTTGTGCGGTAAACCTGTTATTGACTTTACACCTTTTGGGCTGTGTGTAGTACTCAGAACTTCCCTATTTCATGATTGCTTTTGACAGTCATTCGCATGGTTAAAGTTCAGCCACACGCATGATGTATCATTCCTGTCAAGGCCACATTCACCAGTTTTTTTGTTGTTGTTTTTTCTTCCAATCTAGCCAGTGTATGTGCAGACCATCTAAGTACGTACCTGTTTCTGGCCGAGTTGTTCTGTGTACACAATGATCAGTTCCCTTTGTCTTTGCTACTGGCAATGAGTCAGCTAATTACAGTGGAAAAGACCTCTGTTAGGGCTCTCAAGTGAAAATGACCTCAAATAGCCATGTTCTCTGAATCACATGCAAACATAACACAAATACCGTCCAGTGTGGTCTCAGTGACACCTGTTTATGTCATAACAAAGGAGAAGTAGATATTTCCCATGGAGAGTATGTTTTACTCTAAAGGGAGAGGAAGCAGAGAAAACCTGTTCTGTTCCTGCTTAACAGCATGACAAACACACACATCAGATACTGAGTCATCAGAGATATTTTACAGTCAAAGAAAACATGGTTGCTAAAAATAATCTGTCTTTAATGTTAAATCCTCAGTCCGACCACATCTGAACTCCAAACCTGCAGGCCGCAGCTGCACCATCTATTATACACAGTCACGAATTTAGGCAAGCAGGACAGGAATGAAGCATACTGAAATATTCCACACTACTTTTTTGGAAATGCAGGAACCGTTCTCATACTGGTATACCGCTGAATCACCTCTGAATACTTTTATTCCACACATATTTGTCTTTTATTTTAGACTTTGATCAACAAAAAATACTCATTTATCTTTCTCATTAACACTGAAAAAGTACAATCTGATAAAGCTCTGATATTTTAAGCATCAAAAACAGCCCATATTCCCTTGAGTCTATTCTAAACGGGGCTCTCTTTTTCTGTCTAGTGAAACAGGTGCTAGTTCTATTACACCCTTCCAAATTAAGAGCGGTCACAGCCAATGAAACAGGGACACATTTTTCAATAGTGACTTACTCAACAGTCTGTGTGGGACATATAGCCATATGCAGCCAATTAGGAACTGCATCAGATTTTATTTTGTCACACAAGTGATGTTTCAAACACAATGTGGGAGTCGCTGTCTTGCGTGCCCTGAAGTATGCTAATAGGCTGAATGACACGATGAGACACACATTTATTTTGTGCATCATATGCATATGTTTTCCAGCTCTTTGTGCATTACCTTTCTCTGGTTAAATTAAACAAAGATCTCTTTCCTAGAAAGATCTGGTTATTCTACAAAGGGCACCACCACCACTCCCTTGTCTTTCTCTTTATGGCCACGACTCATCGGCACATTAACAAATATGAACTGCAAATATAAAGTACAAACCCACAGATTCCTCAGACACAGACGCTTTTTTAAGTCGAGTGGGATAAATATGTAATTTTGGTTGACATATTTGCAGGAATATGATAGCCTACATCTTAAACATAGTAAGAAAATAGGCACAAAATAAATCAGCAGACTTAATGAGCACAATAACCCTCTGAGCCCTGAATGTCGAAATAAGTTAATCATTGCCTGGCCATGTTTTTTGATGAAGAATGCAAAAATATGAATGCAACTTCCTTGGATTTCACAATGCCGAACATTTGGAGTAAATTATAAACATTTTAAAAAAGAATACAAAGGCGGCAGTTTTACATAGCCTAGGCTAAGTGTTACATAAACGCTTTGCGTGCAGATTTGAAAGCTGAGAGAAATGGAAAGTTGATTAAACCAGCGCTTTACTATTCATCTGGAAAGTGAATGGCATGTGGCGATTGCTCAATCGTCGAGACTGAGACTGCAATGAATGTGTCACTGGAGAGAGTCTGAACCGGGCGCAGTTCCAGCATTGGGAAGTCCGATTCATTCTAACGAAAAGCTTCGTTCGGACGAAGTGATTCAATTAAAGCGATTCAATTATTCTTTTGAGTCATCATTCAAAGGTGTCCGCTGAAGTAGCCTACATGCTCGACATTATGTGCATCATGCATGAAGTAAAACACATTTTAGTTAATTGCCGATGTTATTCAATTCAAGTTTATTTGTATAGCGCTTTTCAAGACACAAATCGTTGCAAAGCAGCTTTACAGAAAATGAAGTTTCTACAATAGATTTAGTAGGCCTAGTCGCTTGTCAGTGGTGACTATTATCGCTGTGTTTAGTTTCTGCTGTATCGATCGTGTTGTTTGTGAATCCAACACGTCACCCACCTCATAGTTTTACTGCCAATGTTCTCCCATTCAGCGGAATGATTAAAAGAAGCTTCCGAATCGATTTAAGTGAATCATTAAAAAGAACCGACTCGTTCGAATCGGACATCAGCTGAAAGTAGAGCTCAGAAAACAGCATCAGTTATTCAGTGAGTCAGACAGCCCTTCTCTCGGGCTCAGATCTACACCGGGAATGTTTCACTGCACACAGCTGCCTCATACAGTATATTTTGGGCTTCAATGTTGTTCAAAAAGCCTTAACGGACTAATGCAAAAAAAAAAAAAAAAACTGAAAAACAATGGATAAGCGAAACTGCAAACCTATGATACAGATACTTGCATTTCACATTCATTAACGAGTAAGTAGGATATTTTTTGCTTTTTGCAGCGCATGCACAGATCCTTTCCTGGAATATGCTTGTGTGAAATCAGACTTATATCAGTTTCAGCTACTGTAGTTTGTAAGAATGAGCGTGCAGTTGCTTCAGAATCCGGTACCGGGAAGACACGGACACAAGCGCTTTGACGCAGACGAGCCCGTGACCAGCTGTCCGCGGCTCAGCGAGTCTTCGGCTGATGCGGGTCTCCTGAGCTCCTCACCGGGATCCCCGGTAAGCGGAGCGCCTCTGAGCGTCACCTCAACCCACCAGGGTCCGGCTCGAATCGGCCAGTACCTGCTAGTGCCCCTGACCGACCG